ATTCTGACTTCTCATCTCAGCTTGTCCCTTCCGCGGTTTATCTGAGATTCACCAGCCATCCCAAATGGCAAACCTTTTTCTACGTCGGTGCAACTCGCACCTCTCTCATGGCTCGGGATCACAGCCGATTCCGCAAGCTACTCCAAGTTCAACGACACCATTTGGTCAACGCCGAGCTGGCCGTTCGATGGTGGGCGCATTTCGATGTCCACATTGCCGTCCCAGCAACCGACCTCTTCGCTACTGAGCAGTTCTACATTCAAGAACTACAACCGTCTCTCAATTTTGGCTTCATCGAGAGACATTTTCGGCCACGTACGGGCTTCATACGACAATTGGACTTTTCTCAATCCCGGCACATGGGCTTCGCCACCATTTGGCGGAAACGTCGCAGACTACGAATACCAATCGCTCTGCAACAAGCTTTCCTTGCCAAGCGCATGAGCAACCGCCTGGATTTGTGGCGACTTTTGGGCGACCTCGGCAGCAACACCCTACGACGATTCGATGCCATCCGTTACGTACGGAGCAGGGACTTCCCACACTCTGCCCTATACATCCTTCATCGCATCGCTGCGCACTTGCCTGAACCGCACCACCAGGCATGCATCTCTGCCATTCGATCTAGCCTGCGTTTCCGGGGCCTTATCCCACCCGGCCCCTTCAGACCGATGCTTGCGCCTTTCTTCGCACATCCCTCCTTTCGGACTTTGCTTTTGTCCCAGCTACGCGGGTTTATCAGATCCACCACCCGCAGTGCTCTACCGTTCCATGTGGCGCAACCACGCATCGTTTTCAAGGCACACCGGAAACTATCCAGTGCCTTGTTCTCACACCTCCAGGCAGCTCAAACCTGGAGTCTCGGCGAGACGTCCTGCACATGTACCGACCTTGCCAAGCGACACCCATCCCTCCCGAAGCATGAGGGACACCTTCTTTTCTCCGGCTCCGACACTCATGAGCTGTTCGACCCCGACATAGTCAGCATGCTTTCCACTTCAATGCGGAACTCCTTCTTTCCTCCACGCGGGGTCTTGATGAATCGTCTGACTCAGGCCTTCCACCACTGGGCCAGGACCAACAACCTGCCCTCGCTCGATCCATCAACCCTTTCTACTCTTGTCGATTTCCACTTCGACCTCCACCGTCCTCACACGCCACAGTACTTTCTACATGCTCATGTTCAACAAGCTCTGGCAACCCTGGAGCCCTGTCCGCCATTGCGAAGATCATGCGGACTCCCGACTCATGCTCTACTGCCCCGCTGTGTACGGCAAGATGCTGGACGCCACATTCACGGATCCTGCCATCTTCGCTCCCTTGCGAGTTCCCTCCATTGAGATCCATCAACGGCAACGAGAAAGCATTGTCAGCAGATTCCGCGGTCGCTATCCATGGGCCGTGACCGGTTTCGGACGGCCAGCGACTGCCTACATCCTCCCCAAGAGGAAGAAGAACTGGACCACTGCTCGACCTATCATCAGCTTCGCTCTCGCCAAATTGCTCCACAGCATGGTTGCCACGGCCTGCCCAGACGCATTTTCAGGTGGCGACCTCTTCGATCTCATGCGGTCCTTGCATGAGTTTCTCCTCCTCGGCCACACCCATCTGGACTGTCGAAACCAGGACCTTTCCGGCTTCTTCACTTCCATCGACAAAGACCGCTTCTTAGCAGCCTGGCGTCTGCTTTTGACTTGGTACCGACAGCGGCACCTCACTGTGGACACACTTGACACCTCTTCCACCACCCGCGTCTACAACGGACGCCGTCGCCGACACAAGCCGGCACAACGCACTCTGTGGCTTGACGACATCCCCGAAATCATCCAAGCTACCCTTGACATGCAGATCTTTTCTGTCGGCTTCCGTTCCTTCAGACAAACACGCGGGGCCCCGATGGGATCCCCCGCATCCCCTGCTTTATGCCTGATGGTAATCGCGGTTGCCGAGCAAATCTGGGCCAACACCCATCCTACTTCGGGACCTCGCTCCTTTGAGGACACCCTCCTACTCCGCTACGTGGATAACAGGCTCGTGGTCGCAACTCCTAGATGGTTTTCGACCCCGGCAGCCCACATCTTGTGCGACGAACACTTCTACGGAGGAGACATCATTTTGGAAACAGAAGCCGCCCTGGATTTCTTGGGTTTTCGACTGGACCTTGAGAGCGGCACCATCTCCTTCATCCCCTCGTATGAGAAGCACAACATGCTCTCCATCAAATCGGCCGCACCAATGATGCACAAGGAATCTGGATATTACTCCAGACGCACGCTGATCAGCCGGGTTTCCTTTCCTGAGTTTCAGCGCGATCACGATCTCGCATTGTTGACGAAGTTGTACCACCAACACGGTTTCACCTTGCAGAAAGAAAGAAAAAACGTACCGGCCTTCCTTTGCCACCATTTAAGATTGCACCCACTTTTTCACTCTTTGCCCATCGGCAGATCCCCACATGACCTGCTTTCACACCGCAGCTGTTTGACATAAAACCTTTTGCGATTATGGATCCTGACACAGCACGCCGGCTGCTTGAGGATTTTGAACTCATCATCGGCATTGCCCAGCAAGGCTTCGCTACCATTCGCGAGTTCGCTGAGGGTCCGGATTTTGCACCGGAAGCTCCAATCATTCTCACCGTGGAGGACATGGCCATTTCACCACCTACACCTCCCCTGACCCCCCCCGATGATCTCAATGAACCACTTCCTGAAGATCCTGGCGAACAACTTCCCGAAGATCATGATGAACAATTTCCTGATCAGTGGACTCCGCCCACTCCACCCTCTCCTCCTAACAAAAAACGAGCTCGTCGCACACGCGACAAGACCTCCTCACGCTCTACGGCATCCAAACCTACCCGTGGACAACGCGAAGCTACCCCATCGACCAGGACTGATACCGCTGCTGAGGCTGATCCCGAAGCCCCGCAACCCTGGACTGAGGAGGAGATTGATCTCCTCCGTTCGCTTAAGATCAATACCAAGGCCAAGCATGCATGGTCTGTCATCGCCACGAAACTTTCCCGCACAGTCGAAGACTGCAAGACTCAATGGGCCTTGCACAAGTGAGCTCGCCCCACTCGGGGCCTTGTGTGTGTGAACCGTCCTGGAACACGGACGTTAAACCTTTCGGAATTTTTCCTGAGCAGGGGGACCAGGCGTCTTGCTGCTGACCTGGTCTAACAAAGCTAGGCAGCAAGACGGGATACCGGAGTTGGCCACTCCGGCGTACCTGCATTTCCGTGATGCCTTTCCTTCCTTTTTCCTGACTGTCTTTCTGTCCTGTTCGCTGTTGCTTCCCGGTTTCTGTTCTGCATTGTGATCTGTCAAGCAATTTCAGCAGTTGCAGGTTTCTCCAACCTTTGCATCTCGGCTAGTGAAGCCTCTCGAGATAAGTGTGTGCGTGTGCCGGCGTGTGTGTGTGTGTGTAGTTGTGGGTGGGTGTTGGTTGCGTGTGTTTGTGCGTTTGTTTGTGTGTGTGCGTGTGTGTGTGTGTGTGCGTGTGTCTGTGTGTGTGTTTGTGTGTTTGTCTGTGTGCGTTTGTGTGTGTGTGTGTGTTTGTGTTTGTGTGTGTGTCTGTGTTTGTTTGTGTGTGTGTGTGTTTGTGTGTGTGTGTGTTTGTGTTTGTGTGTGTGTGTGTTTGTGTTTGTGTGTGTTTGTGTTTGTGTGTGTGTGTTTGTGTTTGTGTGTGTGCGTGCGTGCAAGCGTGCGTGTCTGTGTGTGTGGGTGTGTGTGTGTGTGCATGCCGGCGTGTGTGTGTGTGTGTGGGTGATTGTGGGTGGGTGTTGGTTGCGTGTGTTTGTGTGTGGTGGTTGTGTGTGTGTGTGTGTGAGTTTGCTTGTGTGTTTGTGCGTTTGCCTGCTTTTGTTTCTGTGTTCGTGCGTGTGTGCGTGGGGGGGGGGTGTGTGCACGTACATGAAAGCAGCAGAACGCATCATCATCGAAAGAACCCGAGTCAGGCGTGCTTTCACACCTGCCAGCTTCAAATCAAGCTGCCCAGGAGCTGAGCAACGGTCGCTTGGCAATGGTCGGCATTGCTGTCACGTGCTTCGCCGTCAGGAGCTTAGTACTTTGATGGTGTCGTGCGCGCGGTGATGCTTGTTTTGTTTGGTTGAACACTGCGTACATGCTTCGCAATGAGCGAGTTGCCTGATGCTGCTACAGTGGAAGAGTAGCCGTTTATTTGGCCAACTACAGCTTGTGCGTAAGGTTATTTGGGGCCCACTTAGAGCTGACAGACTTGATTGAGTACAGCGTTGCCAATCCCTGTCTATTTGGCAGCCTGAGGAGAAACTCACCGGCTTAGATGCTGTCGATCAGCTGGCCATCCTAGTGAAAGGTGGCGTGTAGAGGGCGCAGAGGCTTTGAGCTCGTTGAATGATAAATCAAACACAGAAAGGTGCACGCAATGTTGCTAAGGGTAAGATGTGTTTGTCGGCGGTACTGGTGGTGAGCATAGACAACATGTCTATTAGGTGCTATGTTTGCAGTCGGTGTCTTACAACAGCACGCACAAACATGAACGCACGATCGCTTGGCTTGTGCATGTTTCACCTATGAGTGCGGTGGCCAGAGCATTGGCCATTTGGTCAGGCAGCAAAAGCCATGCCAGTGGCTGTGGCTTGCAAATTTTTCTAGGCGGAGTTTTCTGTGGCACGATCTTCGATCCAAAGAGACGATCATTCACAATGTGTTGGGGAACGATACTCGGTTTGCTTGATGCGCAGCGGTTTCAGAAGATCTGCTGCTGCTTGCTACTACACAAGCGGGCTGAACAAAGACTCAGTGAGATTCATGGCCTGAGGAAAAACAAATTGCAGCGGCGAAGCTTAGAGCTGCCGGGGGCTACCAAGTGAACAGAATGGAAAGGACTTGAAGGCTTTCATGTCCGAAGCCTGCTTGGAGTAGCCACAGCGAATGTCAGTTGAGCTGAAGAGTGAGTCTTTTGCCATGGAATCTTTGTGGGCTGAGTGGCTTGTGCTTTGTCCCACGTGCAAGGAGGGTACCATTGTGGCCTTCGATGCCCTGACGGGGCGTTACCACGTTCGCCTTGGCGACGGCGGTGTGAGGCGCTGGGAGTATTCGGACATCCATGCAAACTCAGATCCCATGATGCGTTGGAAATGCCCCCAATCTGAGTCTACGGCAGGGCCATTCGGCCACCGCACGTGGTGGCACGAAAGCCACCGTCCAAGGAGCAGGATCTCAGACTCGGTGCAGCAATTCGTCAATTGATGCAGATTTCGGACAGGAATTTCAGGTTGAGATACTGAACAAGAATCCTGAGCCAATACCAAACAAACTAAACAGTACTGACTCGAACACCAGTCGAGCTGGCGAAGCCGATGGGCGGAAGTTTCATATGAAATCTATAGTTCTCTTCTGTTTCTTGTTTTTGTTCTGCTTGCTTGTACTGACTCGAATACTACTTGGGCAGGCATGATTCTGGCCCCCATTGTGTACAGCCCTCAATGTTGACACAAAGCCTGAAGGAATTTGGCAGATGGAGCCCACCAGACCCAGAGCCCGCCGGCCCAGTCAAAGTGCTCATTTGACGTGTGCTTGGCGGGAAGGAGTTTGATCGTGCTGTTATCATCATTTATCATGTTTCTTCTTATGCATTGCCTGCTGTGTTGAGGCCCAGCCCTGTGGACGAGCCAGAGCCGCCAGAAGAGGAGCCAGCAAACAGTATTGGGTGTGTGAGTGCGCGTCGTTGCTTTTGCTTGTTCGCGTCCGCGTGTGTTTGTGTGTGCGTGCCTGTGTGTGTCTGGCTGTCAACAATGCCGCTGATAGGGTACATCTTATCGGAGTTTGTGTGTGTGTGTGCTTGCGGACAGGGTGATGGAGTATGGAACTCTAGCATGTTCTGGAAGTCTGTTGAAAACATCTTAAAATGCACAGACTACTGTTGCAGCTCTCGGCAGCAGCCGGAGGCCGCCATGGACAATGAAGATGACTTTGACCGCCTTGCAGAGGCACTAGTTCCGAGCGACGGCTAGCTGCTTTGGCATTTGTATGTGCTATGACTGTGACTTTGCAACAAATGCGAGTGTGCCTGTCCCAGATCCAGCAAGAAAAACATATTGGCGCATGTTAGGGTCCGCAAAGGTGCTCTTCAGTGCCAAAGAATATTATTTTAGGGTCTTGCTGAGTCTTATGTGCTACCCCATGCCAAGAAAATGTCATAGATTGGCACAAGAACTTTCCTGGAGGCTGCATACAGTGCACCAGAATATGGCAAAACCAATCGAAGCACAAGTGCGTGAGAATGTGATGAACTGTGTAAGCAAATGTTCTTGCAAGGCGGGTGTCACACAGCAGCGTCGCGGGCCTGTGCGTGGCGAGGCGTTGGATGAGCAACTGCAGCTCCAGCGAGATGTGCAGGTGCAACTGTCCTGCTGCTTCAAGTGTCAAAACAACTGTCTTGGTCATTGGATGGCGTTCCATTTCGCAAGGACTGGTCACCTTGTTCTTTTGTTCGCTTCGAATCGTGGAGGCAGCAGATGGTCGGTGGAACCTTCGAAGGGGGTCCTGCTCTTAAAGCCAATGCTGAGTGTCTTGAAGCGGTTAAAATATTTTGTCAGCCGCCAGTACAGATAGCATTGATTGGCTTCAGGTTGTTTACACCAGATAGCTAGCTCTTTGTTCCTTTCTGAAGGCCAATATTAGATGGACATGTTGCAAGGTGTCATCACATTGTCCAGGAGTTTCTTCAAGATAATATGAAGGTCCAAACCACGTTAACTGAGTTCGGGTAACTCAAGAATAACACCCACGCAAAGGAGCAAGCTCGCAGCTTCGCATACTACTTGCGACATGCATGCCTCCCAACATCCATACCAGCAAGATACTTCCTGTCCCACGCTGGCATTCACGCATAAGCACATGCGTGGGCAAACAGGGTGGTACTCGCTTGACGTGTGCACAAGCGTGCAGGACGCACAGTAAGCGCAGGCGCCTTGAAACAAACATACAAGAACACCACCGACAAAGCGGACACACGTGCATCATGCTTGTTTGCTGCAACAGGACCAGTGGCTTGCAAAGCCAAAGCTGAGGCAGCAGCTCGTGCGCGAGGCATCCTTTTTGCAAGGTCTTTGGGCAACCTCTGGCCATGGCAGTCAGCTGTTTAGATTGTTGTGTGAGCTTGCTTCTGGCTCAAGAAGAGCCGGCCTCAGAAAGAAATCGTAAAACATCTCAGCAAACATGCCAACCGGCTAAGCTGGCGAACAAGTTGGAGCTATCTATCAGGCCTAGACCTAGGTGGATTACTTGCAAGCTGCCAAATGCTTCCTCAAGACAAGGCTAGAGTGCATATGAAGGTTCATCAGGCATGATAGCTTTGTTGCACATACTTGCCACTATCCAAAGTCTGATTGAAACTCCATCCATGAGCAACGTGGAGGACTGCCTTACATCTCAATCGAGTGTATTGTGGGCGACTGGTGAACAAAGGCCACCCCGCCTTCCTCCAAAAGAATTTCAGAAAGGACAGTCCAGACCACCGCTAAAACAGCATAGGGGTCAGATGTGACCCGATGACTTTGTACTGGTTCAGTGTTGGCTTCGAATTGGTCAGTATTGTTTTGTCTTTAGTATTTGTCCTCTCCAGTGACAAGCTTTGGGGAAGATTACAAAGTGCGAGCGTCGCAAAATTGCCGCGTGGCGCGTGCCCCCCCCCCCCTGCCTCGCCCCCCCGTTCCCCACCGTCGCTCGTTTTCTTCATATTTCATACCACGGAGTTACAGCAAGCGTGTTATGCACTATATCCATTTTGGCTCAAGGCCCATGTGACAGCCGCACAGCTCATACCTTTTTGCCCATAGAGCAAAAAGCCTTGCGTGCCTCTGACAGGTAGCATCTTTCTTACATACCTTGCCAAGTTCGGTCGCTTACCTTGACAGGGACATCGCGCACTTAGTGACAGAGCCCACCCCCCAAAGCCGTCCCCTGCGAAAGGGACATGTCAGGCGGGTTCCTCCTGGTTGGTGGATTTCACGAAAACGAGGCTGCTTCATCCTCAACAACTGGGTTTCCCCAAGGAGTAAGCCATTTTTTCTAAAATCATGGGTCGACTTTCTTGCCACCTTTCGTGCGAACGTGGGCAGGAATGCATTTGATCGCTCTCATCTTCCCGGGATGCTGCCAACAAGCATTCTTGCCACCTCTCCCGCAAACCAAAACTGGCGGGAGTGGCTTTTCTCATGTGGTTCGGGGTATTTAGGGTTGGCCCTACCCGGACAAAAGGCATTCTTGCCACCTTTCGCCAGAACGTGGCAGGAATGCAATTTGGTCAGACGCGGGTCCAGCCCGTCCACCAGCTGCATCATCGCTTCGCTTCCGCCCGCTGCTTCTTCCCGATGCTCCGTGATGTTCGGGTTGTTAGTGGCCAAAAGGCATTCTTGCCATCTTTCGCGCGACGGTGGCAGAAATGCCTGTTTGGTCACGTCCAACCCGTCTTGTTCCTCAGGCAAGACAGGACAGGTAAGAAACCACAGCTCGTCCAACTCGTCCTGTTTCCCGGCAAATCAAAACAACACGTCCAACCCGTCCTGTTTGTCGCATAAATCGGGGCGGGTCAGAAATTACAGCCAACAAGCGCGGGTTGTCCGCCTCGTCCTGCTCCACCTCATTAAAACCACCTCCAAAACAAACTTAAAACGACCTTCAGTGGTCCAACTACCTCTACAAAGACTGTAAGTTGATGTGTGTCATTGATGTTGCTTCAAAGCTCGCAGGATGTGATTATCTGTGGCGGCGGCATTGTAGGCTGCGCCACTGCGTATTTCTTGGCCTTGAAGGCTAGCTTGGCTCGGGTGCCTCTCCGACTGACTTTGGAAATCCGGCTGCAAATACCGCCAGGGCATCAAGCCGTTGCTCGTGGAACGCTGTGCCATTGCTTGCGCCGCTAGTGGCCACGCCGGTGGTTTCTTGGCGAGAGGCCTGGGAGTTCTGGCTGAACAAAGTTGAACGTTAAACGGCCTGCAACTCATGGTGAGCTTTACTGCGGAGACGTATGTGCAGGCTGTCACCACAAAGACAGGGCTGATGGGCCAGCTTTCAGCGGTCAAAGCTTTGTCGTGGCCAGGCTGGGGAAGCGGAGCCACTGAGGCGCGTTGGGTAGAGCCGGAGATAAAGTAGGATAGCTCGTGAAAGATAATGGCGCATCACACGCAAGCTTTTTGCCATTCGAACGTGCAGGGCGTTCAGCAGAACGAAACTGTGCGGAAAGCCTCAGGGCTGTCGGTGCTTGATGTTTTTCGCAAGCCAGCTATGTGTTCGACTCTTTTCCAACAGGGTTTTAGCTCAACAGCAGACAGTTTGGCAGAGGCCTGGCAGAAGAAAGCTCCTGTAAGACCACCCAAGCGGAAAGGCGCTGTTTGCTCGCATGGCTTTTCTCGTGGTCTGATAGCATGTTTGCACGTTCCTTTCCTATCTTATTATCTACAATATGAAAAGGCATGGATATTCAAATATTTTTCAATATGAAAAATATGAAACAATAAGATAAGAAAGTAATAAATAATTATGGAAATAGATGGCTTTTATTAAGATCTTTCCGTAGCCATCATTTCCCGATCATCCTTATCTTATTATATCTTTCCCTTTTTCATCTTTGTTCACATCCTCGCCCATCAAATAATCTTGGAAACAGCGAGGATACAAAGACAAGAAAAGGTGGACCATAAGAAAGAGATCCTTCTCTCATCCACTTCTATCCTATTCTCTGGATTTTATTGTTTGCTGCCACCTTCCTCATCCAAGATTCAGAAGTTGTAGATCATAAAATGTATGAATTTCCAAGATTCTAAAGTTTACAATAAATAATAAAAAGATAGGAAAATGATAGACAAAGGAATGTGTGAATGATGAAGAGAGAAATAGACTGTGTGCTGGATCCCTTCCTATCCTTTCGTTTCCTCACTATCCGTTCCTCACTACATCAGGTTCTCCCGGTTAACGAGAGGAAGGAAAAATGGAAATAGGATGACCAATAATAAATCTCTTCTCCTCAGTCTATCTTGGAATGATTCTTTGTGTGGCTTGATGAAGTGCTTTTTGGAGGTTTAATGGTGGACAAGGATTCTATGGACGAGGCAATCGACGGAAGGGAGAATGAGAGAGTGGATGAACCTTTCTGTAATAGCGGTTCATCTCTGAGATTGATGGTGTACGAAAGGAAAAGGAAAGGTTAACCGCTATGACGAAGAGATGAGGAATGAGGTTCGTGACTGAGGAGATAGACCGTAAAGCAAAGAACCTTCATTGGCGGTCACCTGTCTAGTCCTCTTCTCCACACAGCGGCCTGACCAGAAATCCAAGAAGAATTCTATCATGGACACTCCCGAACGAAGAGAGGAGTAACTGGAGTAGGAATGGGAGATGGGATTCCTTCGCCAGGCGCTCCATCACCAGGGCTTCGATCTCCACGAGAAGCTGGCGAAGGCCACTCTGAGAGTCACAGCATGTCACAGCGCAACGCTTCACCCTGGACTGTGCGCTTTCCAAATCTTCCCAGCTGGTCGCACCCCGAGAATCGCAGCCGGCCGGTTGTTTCTTTATCAACCTCAAGCGTGGGCTTCCAAGTTTGATGGTAACTTTGGCAGCCTTACCATTGTTTGTTGAGTTCAGTCCTTGTACAGTTCAAGGCTGCCACTGTCATCCACAACATGCTGATCCGTCACGCTTGCTGGTGGAATGCTATGTTTGTCCACACACGCACACAACGTTGAATACACCAATCTAGCTCAGCTGCAGTTTTGCCGGCCACGCTGCAGCCGATGTTTATCAGGAGCTGGACATCCGCAGCTACCGACGGCTGCCCACACTTTCTGTGGGCGGCAAGCTGCGCAGGCAAGGGCTTCTGAAATTTGGCTCCAGCATTGCAGCATGGCCGGAATCTTTTGCCTCCATGAATGGTTTCCAGTCATTCCTTTTGAAATCTTTTCGGCCTGCGGCCTCTAGCCGGCTAGGCCTTTTTGAAGATGTCATGTCATTTTTTTGTGTGAGAAGCGCATCCTGTGCTGTGATATGGCTGGATAGGTTATGCGTTGCCCACTCCAACCGCAGATGATGTTTGCCTCAGCCGGGCCCCAACCCAGAAGGTTGACGTCGGAGGCCCCAAAACGAGCAGCCCAAAACAACAGGCCAGCCCGGAAACGCAAACAAATTGCGGCGTTTTGTGGCTGGGGCCGCGCGCGCGCGCCAGAAGTATTGTAGAGCGAGGACACAGCATCGCCGGCATGCCCGGCAGCGCTTGGCGCCAAAATGCGCGAAAATGAGCCTTGCTTACCTTCAAAAAAACAGTGCTTCATGGGTTGAGAGGCTTTTTGGAAGGAAGTCTCGATGCAGACCAAGCCCCGCTGAAGCGTCACCCAGGCCCAACCCCAGACCCTGATGATGTCAGCCACACGGCCTAAACCCTGCACACTCGCAATGTTTGGCGAGGCAAGCAAAACCGCAAGCCCGAGCTGGTGATGCAGAGGTGCCGGATTTAGGCAACGCATCACGACCAAGTGACGAGAGTCGGCGGCACGCAGGTGCAGCCCCTATAGCTGACATGCTACTCCAGGAGGCGTAGGCGGATTTACGTTGCTGGCGCAACACCGGCCCAAGGCTGCAGACCCAGAGGCAAGCAGATGGCAGGCGATGCTCATCATTCTCCTTTTCACGGACCCCCGGCCGCATCCTCGGCGTGCGCAGGGTTGGCGTCGCTCAGAGCCTCACTCCAGAGGACCAAGGTGGTAATCCAACACAGCCGTTCGGCCAGTTGGCCGTGGCCTTATGTACGTTGCTGGCGCACAACCGGCCACGGCAGCATCGCGACGCACTTGCAAGGACGTTTTCCACACATTTTCCATCCATGTTCTATCCATTTGCACCCACACTTCCCGTCATTTCCCCCCGTGTCCCCTTCACCGCCCGCCCGCACGCAGACGAGCACGCAGACCAGCACACACCCGGGCACGCACGCTCACGCACACACGCGCACACACACATCCACACACGCGCGCGCGCACTTGCACACGCACGCACGCACGCACCCACAGACACACAGACACAGACACACAGATACGCACAGACACAGACAGACACGCAGACGCGCAGACACACAGACACACACACAGACACACAGACACACAGACACACACACACCCACACACACACACACACACCCGCACCCGCACCCGCACCTGCGTGCACGTACGCACGCACGCACTCGCGCACGCACGCACGCACACACACACACACACACACACACACACACACCCACCCACCCACCCACACCCACACCCACACGCACAACCTCACCCACACCCACACCCACACCCACACCCACACCCACACGCACGCGCGCGCGCGCGCACGCACGCACGCATGCACGCACGCGCGCGCACACACGCAAGCGCACACGCAAGCACGCGCGCAAGCACGCACGCCGGGGCCAGTTGCGACGCAACACGCACGTCAAAACCAAGCGTTGTCCTCTGTTTTCGCAGTAAAATCCAGCATCTTCGCGTGCTTGTCCAGTGGTTCAAGGCTGCAGCGGCTCGCCCAACGACCCTTAGTACTGGCTCGCCCAACGACCCTTAGTACTGGCTCGCCCAACCTTGTTTGATACTGGCTCGCCCAACCTCGTTTGACACTGGCTCGCCCAACGACTCTTGATACTGGCTCGCTCACAATTCCCGGAGCCAGAGAAGTCCTGCTGAGACAGTGAGACAAGTGAGACAAGTGAGACAAGTGATTTCCAGAGCCACAGAGGTCCTTCTGAGACATTGAGACAAGTGAGACAAGTGAGACAAACACGAAACCTGTCGATTTTTTGCTGTTTTTGAGCAATTGAGACAAGTGAGACAAGTGAGACAAACACGATACCTGTCGATTTTTGCTGCTTTTGAGCAATTGAGACAAGCGAGACAAGTGAAACGAACACAAGGGCGGCAGGTTTGCCTGTTTGTGAGCAATTTTGCTGAGATATTCGGACAATTGCGACAAGTGAGACAAATGAGACCACACAGAACTGTCCCGAAAACAGTGCCAAATGGCCGTTTTTCGTTTGTCTCACTTGTCTCACTTGTCTCAGCAGGACTTCTCTGGGTCTGGAAAAAAATGCCTGTCTTTGGTGGCGGCTTTTCGTGGTGAAATGTTTCAAAAAAACGTTTTTTTCAGGACGCCGTGCGAAAGGCAGCTCCCAGCAACATCCCAGCATCACCAGCATCACCCGCATCACCGGGTGCAGACCCACAACCGGACCCACGCACCCGCCAGAAGCAGTTGATGCAGGTGATGCTTATCACTTTCCTCTTCACCCGCATCCTCGGCACGCACAGGGTCGGCGGCACCATGCGGCGGCAGCCCCAGAGAGCTTCGCTCTAGAGCCTTGCTCCAAAGGACCAAGAGGGTAATCTGACACAGCCGTTCGGACAGTTGGCCGCGGCCGGATTTACGTTGCTAGCGGCCCGCCCGCACGCGCGCCAGCACACACTCACACGCACACACGAGGGCGCGCACGCACGCTCGCGCACGTACATCCACGCACGCACCCACACACACACAGACACAGACACAGACACAGACAAACACACACACACACACACACACACACACACACACACACACACACACACACACACACACACACACACACACACCCACGCGCACGCACCCACGCGCACGCACGTGCACGCACGCACGCACGCACGCACGCACGCACCCACACACACACACACACACAGCAGCGCACCACGAGCGCACGCACGCAAGCGACGCGCGCACGCACGCAGGCACGCACGCACACGCGCACACACACGCGCACGCACACGCGCACACGCACGCACACATGCACGCACACACTCGGCGCGCGCGGGCGCGCCCGTGCCGGCGCCCGCGCCCGCGCCTGCACGCACTCGGGCGGCAGCCTCATAGAGCTTCGCTCTAGAGCCTTGCTCCAGAGGACCAAGGTGGTAATCCAACACATGGCCGCGGCCGGATTTACGTTGCTGGCGCACAACCGGTCACGGCAGCATCGCGACGCTCAATTGCGCAGCTCTTGCAAGGACGGCTAGGCAGCAGCAACAATAACAACATTAACACACATACACTTCCTTACTCCTTACTTGCACACATGCACACATCCATTTTCCACACATTTTCCATCAGTTTTCCATTAATTTTCCACACCGTTTCCAGCCAGATTCTATCCTTTCCATCCACACTTCCGGTTACTTCCCCCCGTGTCTCCTTCACCGCCCGCCTGCCCGCACGCACGCGGGCACGCAGACAAGCACACACGCGGGCACG